TGGAGGCCTTCACAAATTCAAATTTTATTCGATAAATATTCCGACTTAAACAATTAACAATTTTTTGTTTACCGAACAATACAAATTGTATTATTGTATTATATTATGATATATTATGTTGTATTATATTATTGTATCGTGTATGATGTTTCTTTCGTATTAAACTTTTGTATTTTTATTATATTTTTATTGAATATTGTTGAATTATATTTTATATTGTAATAATTTTTTTATATTGTATAAAAATAATAAATATAAGAAAATTTAAAATAGGCATATAAAGAAAAGAGGACCGCCAAGAAGTGAAATTGGCGGGGGTGGTGGAGGGCCTCTACAAATTGATCAGTTTTTAAAAACGCAAGAGAAATTATAGCATAGAAGTTTGCTATAACTAACGAGATTTGTTGAGAATTGTGATAAATAATCAATACGGCACATTTCCGATTTTGTGAGACAAGGACGGATAGAGATTGATCGTTCCTCTTTATCTAACTAACTGTCACTCCTGCATATAGCACGGAACAAAACCACAAAATCGTGGACATAGCACGAATGAGAACTACGCAATCGTGGATATTACCTACAGGATCAGGGACATTGGTTACGTAGTTCAAAGTCCATGTTTTTATGGACATAGAGGCGCTTCAAAATAAAGTTACAGCTAAACATGTCCCCGCTCTCAGGCTTCTGTCTGTTTTGCGTTCTTGTTGTTTTCCACGTGAATCGTATCAAAACGTTACCTATATTGGCTAAGCCTTGGCCATTAAGAAGAAGAAAAAAAAATAAGTTTTCCGCGTAAGATGAGAATATATACGTGATATTTAAAAGAAACTAGAATAAAAAGAATAAATACAGAAGAATTAAATGACACCTGTTATTAATTTACGGTTAACATAAAGTGTAAGATATGAATCGAATTGATGAATTGTTGAAAACATCCGTAGCTCGTTTTATTGGAGGATTGTGGATAAAGATAAAAATTTGACGGCAAAAATGAAAGTGCTGGAGTTATACAGTGGTATCGGAGGAATGCATTATGCGCTCTGTGGTAAAATGAAAATTATTTTATAGTTGTATATATTTTATAGTTGTATAAATTAATTATAGTTGTATATATTAAGAGTAATATCTTTATTACAGTTGCTACCTTCATATTAATGTTTTATTGGAGATTTCCAAAAAGAAATATTGGGCATAATAATTCGTTTCATTCCTTGATCATATTTAATATTCTATTAATATATTCCATCACAAGTGACAAAATATTAGTATATTAAGTTAGTAGTTACATTTAAGTTAGTATATTACATTAGTATATTAATGTTTTGTTCTAAAAAATATCACAATTCAGAACAATTGTTTTATGAGAGATGTTCACAAAATTGAAAGTGAACGAAATTGAAGTAGTGGCAGCTGTGATCTCTGAATGTTAAAGCAAATTAACATGAAATTAATTTGTGATGTTTTCTTATCTTTATTGTATATAATTTCAGAAAGTGGAATTGCAGGAGAAGTTGTTGCAGCGATTGATATAAATCCTATCGCGAACGATGTTTACCACTATAATTTTCCAAAGACTACTCTTATGAACAGAAATATACAGTCAATTAGTACACAGGAATTAAATAAGTTGAATATAGATGCTATATTTATGAGTCCTCCATGTCAGCCTTTCACTAGGTTAGGATTAAAAAAGGATATTCTTGATAACAGAACTTGTTCCTTCCTACATGTTTTGAATTTAATACCAGAATTAAAAAGCTTGAAATATATCTTGCTTGAGAATGTCAAAGGTTTCGAAGTATCTCAAGTAAGAAGAAGACTGATAGATTGCATGAAAAGCTGTGGATATATCTATAGAGAATTAATATTAAGCCCATGTCAATTTGGCATACCAAATAGTAGATGCAGATATTATTTATTGGCAAAGAAGAATGATCTGAAATTCTGTTTTAAGCAACTTCCGCTGGAAAATACAGAAGATTTGTTGCCTGAATTATTAGAATTACTGTCTAAAAGTGAGCATTTAACATCAGATAAAAAGAACAATCCAAAACCTGGCAGATGTTATACATTAGATAATATTTTGGAACATGTTGAAGTATCCAAATATCTAGTGCCTTCCAAACTGTTACAAAAGAGAGCATGGGTGTTAGATATACGGACATCTACAAGCAATGGTTCTTGTTGCTTCACCAAAGGATATGGTCATTATGCAGAAGGTACAGGATCTGTCTATTGTCCATTTACACATGAAACAATTAAATTAAAATATAATGAAGCCGACAATCACGAAAATGATTTAGATAAACAAAGGCAAATTTTGTCAGAATTAAAACTTCGATTTTTTTCACCCAGAGAAATGTGTCGATTAATGTATTTTCCAGAAGATTTCGATTTTCCAAAGCACATTACAGACAAACAGAAATACAGATTGCTAGGAAATTCTATCAATGTTTATGTAGTTAGTAAATTAATATTTTTATTATGTACCGAAAATGAAGATACATGAGAATCTAATGCGATTATCATATTCCCCATCCTTCATCCCATAACTCAATACTATTATAGTTATGTTTGGAAAATACAACGGTTGTGCAATCATTGAGTGAACGCTTGCCATCATAAAAGCGTGTTCTTTATCATTACACTAAAATTTTATTTTTTGTTAAACTTCAAACAATTCGTTTCATTTTAAGTGCTCATCCTTTAACTATAAAAGAAAGCGGTATTGTATTTCTCTATTTCAGATAGATTTAAAAGTTTATTCATATCACAAATAATTATTGAATGTTCACTCAAACCGTTGTGTTTCCTGAACACATGTGTCTATGTATTTCTTTTATATAACTAAAGACATTTAAATTATACTATTTCTACAATGTAAATTGAATTATATGTACAAAATAGGATCTTTGTTCTATAATTCTAAAAGTTAAGAGAAGTCAATGCAGCAGCGAAATATTTACCAAATCATTCTATTATTAAACTTATATGTAATATACGTATAGTCGATCAGTATATCTAACTTTTCTACATAGTTTCTAAATCTGGTGGAATAATGATCTTTTTTTCTTGAGCAAACTTTTTCAGTGCTTGATACTTTGAATGCCAGGACTCTATCTCTTCTCTCATACGATTATTGTCTTCCTGCATAGCCTCCATGTCTCGATATTCCTGGCTTTTCTCAGATTCCAATTCATCCTTCTGTTCGATACGTTTTATGCGACAACTAGCAGCATATCCTCGGTTCTTCAATGTTCGCCTTCGTTGTTTCATACGTACAATTTCCTCTCTGGACAATCCGCGTAATTTTAATTGTCTGTTTAAATCACGGACTGATATTGTGACAAGGTCATCATCGCTGATATCTAGGCATGGGCCAGGTGACAAAGGATCCTAAAAGGAGTCATTGTGAATGGAAACTTGATATTCTTTAGAGAACGTTGAATGTAATTACGTCGTTGATTTAAATATGATAAAATATGCAAATTAATGAGAAAGTATATGTTTAACTCGTCTATTACGTCTTTCGCAAACGCTTACGCTTACGAAACGTTAGAAAAGGGGAGAAATTGGGTATGCGACACGCCATGTGACATACCATTTTGATCGATCTTTTTCCATCCATAGCCACCTCCGACCTGGTTGTTTATCACGCCCGAGAACAAAATAGTCTCGAAAACGTCTGAATCCCTCTGTCTTTTACACTTTCCCGATAAATATGCTTAGTCATTCTCGTAAACCAGAAAGACGTACTCGCCATTCCTGACACTAGTACCGTCCTGAAAACATCGATTCTGCATATGTGATGATAGTTTATAAAAATATTGCTTAGAATTTTCATTCTTTGCCAGATTTATTTTAAATATTTATACGGAGCTATCAATTTCTTCCGCTCAGAGATATAAAAAATTATTGGAATATATTTCAACTAGGGGGGGAGAATACCATAGAATACATAAATGAAAAGGGATAACACAAGGGATATCTGCGTGTGATTGGTTGTCCCATATTGTTGATACAATTATCGGACATATTAATTTAGGTGTCTTTTCATGCTGATGCTCAACTCTCATAGTTAGCGTCAAACTAGATTACGTAATCAAAACACAGAATAGTGAAATCTGAATGGTCTTTTTTGATTACGTGTCTATTTTGATTAAAAATGAGCATTAAGCATCAATATAAAAAGACACCTTAAGGCTCTGCGCATAATGGAAGAAATATTAGGAACAGGAATAAATAATAAAATATTAATAAAATTTTGGAAATAAAAATTAGAAATAAAGATTAAACGTAACGCATAATGGAAACAAGTAAATATAAACTATTTATGATTGATTGAAATTATGACTTTTTAATATGCACAATTATAACAAATTTACGTTTTTAAGAATGTTCTCAAAATTCAAGGATAACATGCAGCAAAAATCATAAAAATATAAAAATAAAGATTTTGAACATAAACGAACGTAATTCTTTAATTTAAGATTTATAATTGTAAACTTTAAACACGTGTTTATTTACATTATTTAACAAATGTTATGCGTTATCATTATTTAATTTTTCATGACCTTTCATGCTGCAATTTTATTATCTTCGAATTTCGAGATATTCTGTCCCTGTGAAAATTTAATAAATACAATTAATCTCATTATTTTCTAATTTATATTTTAATTAAATTAATCTATTTTATTTGCATTTTCTGCATTTAGGTTGTTTGCTTTTTTCATTCAACGTATAAAATATATATCGGTTTTTTTAGATGCAGAAAGATGTTAAAAGTGTAAGCATGTAAACAATGGTATCTTTGATAATTTTCGGGGAAAAAAATTGCTAAATTATATTTCCCTAAGCGATTTGTTAGCGTTTCTTGATGACAATTGAAATATTTCGTGTGAATAAAAATAAATCTTGCTAATACAATCTGTTTTATAATTAACAATCGTTAAGCAATGTACATATTATTATCAAATCATTATTCTGCAACCTGGGAATAATAAGATTTTGAGATATTTTATTAATTAATATAAATCGAGAATGATGAAATAATTTGAACCATTGATGATAATAATTTTTAATATAATTTTTGATATTAACATAACAATATTAACTAAATGAATTTAAAAATTATATTTTTTACTTAAAGATGAAAATTTTTCAGAGATTGAAAATGTTTATTTAGAAAACAATTTTTTTTTGAATGAAAAATCATGAGGATAATATTGTCTTTTCACGAATAAAAAAAAATATTCAGAAAATTTTATAAATACAATTTTTATGAAGAAATATTGATACAAGAATATTAAAAAAGAAGTCATATTTTTTATAGAAATTATTTGTTATAGAAATAATTTTACGATTAATTTACAATACTGTAGTTGAATTACAAAGTTTATTTAAATAAATAAAAGTAATACGTGCAATTTTAAAAACTTATCAACATTTCCATTAATTACATATAACGAATAGAATTAAAAAATAAATTGCTTTTGATTGTAAAAATGTGAGAAAGATAAAGTTTAATATCATGATTTCTAAAATATTTATATTAAAATGTTTCTTTATTATAAAATATTATATTACATTTAAATATATATAAATATAAAATATATGTATATAAAAACTAACATATGTTACCTGGGATATAATATCACGCAAGTTTTATATCTTACGACTTATGATAATAACTTAGACTTTATTCACACCCATCCATGATATGTTAATTTCAATATAAATACGGGTTTTTCTCACTTTAATATACAAATTTACTTTGAACAAATGAATTTAATAGTCTTAAATATTATTGTTATGAATTTAATAGTCTTAAATATTATTGTTCTTAATGTAATTAACGTTTAAATTTAATTACTATAAGTACGCGTAAAGATGGATTTCGCGTGATATAATCTGTAAGTGAATATTCTCTTCGTTCGTTTATTTAAAGGAATTGTAGAACATTGTAATTTGCAAAGTTAAATTTTCAACATAATTTATCTAGCTTTTTGATATTACTTAAACTTTACAATAAGTCAAAAGAGTAATAAGTAGTCACATTTTATACATCTTATAAATATTTAGTATAGATAGCATAAGAAGATTTGTTCATATTTTCTTATTAGCATTGTGAATTAATAATATTTATTTGTACATGATAGTGTATTATTATGATAGAAATTCTTGAGTCGCAATAAAAATCTATGTAGTCTCATAGGAGTATTATAAGTTATGTAATATACAAGAAGAAAAGAAATCGTCTATCTCAGAATAAATCAAATTTCTCTAGGGATTTGTCTTTGTTACGTATAAAAATAGCGTCTCAATCGATTACAAGAGAAGAAGCGTTTACAAAAGAAGACATAGTATTTTGCTTCAATTAAAAAATTTGAACGTAAACATATCAAATTTAAATAGTTCCTTTGTTTATATCAAATATTTCTTTATATATTCTTTTATTAGATATTCTATCAAATATATGTATATTTACGCGCGCGTGCGCATAAAATAGTTTGCTAAAAATAAATCATTTCAACATTTTTATTGTTTCTAATAATCTGTGTTATTAAAAATCAATGAAAATATCAAAATCATCTTTTTCTAATCGTTTCCAGAGACTTTCTTGCGTATGTATAGAAATAGTAATTAAAGATTTTTCATCCATGCGAAAATAGTTAAATTAAGATTAGAAACGACTTCGAGCGAAACTCCGATTAACTTAATAGATAATTAATTCAATTGAATTAATTTAATAGAGTAGCAAAATTTCTAATAATACAACTATGACTAATCCAATCCTTCTGCGTATTTTAAGCGATGGGACATTTATAATTTCATTCATGTTAACCAAATAATACAAGTATTTACTTAATATAAGATAAATCCCTCCCTCGATGAAATTAATTGAGTTTAGAATTAATCGGAGTTTGATCGACGTCACTCATAATAGCTTTAGCGGTCTGACTCATCGCTGATCGTTACTACTGAAAAACATGCATAGTCTGCGCTATGTCGACTATGACTACTTGTACAAAGGAGGTAGTGCAATCCTCTACAAAGTTTTCCCATTAACTCTAAAACGTAATTCTCCTAAAGCGTAATGCAGTGAATATATTACATATTACATCTACACACGCGCGAACATATCACATATTATATTATAATATTTGTTCGGAGGGAAAGATTGAAATTATATATTCGTACGGAATTTCCGAAGAACGAAGAAAACTGTAATCTGCAAGTCCGAATTTCTCGAAGTCGTAGTCCAATGAAATTGCAGCGACTTCGATGCTCAAACATTGCTGATCAAATGTTATATCCCTCGAGCTACTTCCGACCTTCTTTCCCTCTACCCCTCGCATAAATGACAGAACGGCGACAGCTCTATCGAGAGAGCCGCGGAGTTGCAGCTTAACAGATGCAATTCTCTCCAGCGCGGTGTCCGCAGGAAATTGCAGTGGAGTCCCGACGATGGTTATACCCCGACACGGGGGCGTCGTCGGTCGTCCTCGGACGTCTTCGGGCGTCGCGTCGACGTCCCGTCGAGGCGCAGCCGACAGTTGGTGGCCGGACGTCGCGACGCGTGTATCGCGTCGGTGCCTCGCTTCCGTGACAGTTGGTTCTTATTGGTCCTGCGATTTTTGCGAAAGGAGGAAAAAAAAACATTCGACGACCCTCGTAAAAATTTCCGCGCGAACTCGTTCACACGTGACCATCGGATTGCAGGACTTCCGGCGAGGGAAGCGCGCTGCGGAAATGCGTGACAGCCTACGTTACTTACGCGGTTGACACTGATGGTCTGTATCCGAAAATATTTACGGGGAATATCCGCGATATCTTGCGAATAGAATAAGCGAAGGGGTTGAAGAGGGCGAGGAGGACGCTCATTCGGGCGCTCGCACGCGAGGATCTCGGAGCTGGGAGGGATAAATCTCTGACGATCGGATGATCCTTGTTCGAGTAACAAGGAAAATCGTTTGTTATTCTACGTATCGAATTTTCTTAAGAATTTACTGTAGAAATAAAAGAAAATTTTATTCTCTTTGCTTAGATGCGGAAGTAAGGGTGAAAGATAGCTTGAAGATATTTTTGCATAATCGGAACATGCGAAATTTAATAAAAATACATTTTTATACATGTGAAATTTTGGGAATTTAATGGAAATTTAATGAGACGAAGATATTTTTCGAAAACGTGTAAATGAAGACAAATGTGGGATATAACGGAATACACTATAAATTTATCCCTATTTGAATGATTAAAAAAAGATTCTTGTTTTTTACGGTGGATTCACCTTTTCCCGATAGGGACATATCATCTCGAAAAATAAATGGGGGGGAAATAGAAGTAAATGTGATCACATTGAGAGACGAAGATAAAAGATTCTCGCCATTTGAGTAACAAAATAGAAATC